TATGTATGTATATACAAAATTAGTATGTATATATTGTATGTATATGTAGATGTTAGCGTTTTTCATGTACGTTATCCAAACTGCAGGCACCAGAATAATATAATTGAACATATTTTGCCAGCAGATTTTGGCATTTTAAGTTAATGTAGGCGTTAAACTGTTTCAGAGCAGTGATCATAGTGCTCTGCATCAGCAGCACTGTGTCCAGCGCGTCAGCTGCTCAGACACGCTGCTCCAAATGAGCTGCGGACCTTTTGTTGCGCCATGATGCATCATCAACCATTGACTTTTCATGTAACCTAGCTGCCTCTGCTGCTTTAAGTATGAATGTAGCATAAGGGTTAAATGTTCAAAAGAGTTGTAATTATTAACTGTGTTTGGAGTAATCAGTGAGTCGGACTGAAAGATTGTTGGTACTCCTGACAGGACGCTGCAGACCCTCACGCCCTGCTTTGTGTTTGCAGGAGTTTGCCGACTCTCTGGGAATCCCTTTCTTGGAAACGAGTGCCAAAAATGCCACCAATGTGGAGCAAGCCTTCATGACCATGGCTGCTGAGATCAAGAAAAGGATGGGCCCCGGAGCCACCGCTGGGGGCGGAGAGAAGCCCAACGTGAAGTTGGGTCCAGGCACTAATGTGAAGCCTTCATCAGGAGGCTGCTGTTGAGTCCCACCCCACACCAAGTTTCCACTGTGTCCCACTACAGCAGCAGACAGGACGGGGGGAGCCCGGATGTGTGCGTGTTTGGACCAGATGAGGTTTCTACTGTACATACTGTAGCCGCTCTACCAAAAGAAAGAAAAGCAGAAGAATCTCTCTGGTCTCAATGACTTGGACCTGTCAGAGACTCGTTGATTGGCCCTGCCTGTGAATACAGCTTCATGAGAAGTCTTTGTTTGGGTTTTTTTTTTCTTGGTTCTCTTCTCTTCGTTCAGTATGTCTCTCTGACCCAGTCTGCTTTTTAAATTTTCACACCCATCTTCATCTCAGACCTTTTGGAAGTCTTGTGCAGCAGCAGTATATGTACATAAGCATTATGTATATATGTGTGTGTGTGTGTGCGTGTGTGTGTGTGTGTGTGTGTCGGGCCAGTTCTGTTTTACATATTTCTGGGCCGGTCTGTATCTCTGCATTTGATTCTTGGCTGAAGACTGTAAGTTTCTTGCTCAACATGTAACACTTAATCAGAAAATAAATATTGTACTTCCATCTTGTACCGCATGTTGGGTTTCTTCCTTGCATTGTGGTTGGGTCCATCAAGCCAACCAATCAGCTGCTGTCAGGAGTCGATTGTGTCCATCCATGGATGGAGGCCTGCCCAGAAATCTACCGGTACCAGAAAGGGACGGATTTAGGTAATTTGGAGCCCTAGGCAGGGGGCCCTCTGAATTGAGATGAGAACACATAAAACAGACCCATTATACAGATAGAGAAATGTTAATAGAATAGACATCCATTATTTGTTCTGCATTTTGTCCCTATTTTCTTGTTCAGGGTTCCGGCGGGTCCTTAAAAAGTCTTAAAAGGCATTGAATTCTTCAAAATAAAACTAAGGCCTTAATTGGTATTAAAATGTCTTAAATAAGTCTTTCCTAGGTCTTAATTTCTAAAACATAAATAGGATCATTTTTATTATGATTTATTTTTGTAATCTAAATAAAACATTAAAATTGGCCATTTTTTTTTATTTAAAAAAAATAACAGCTCGCCATTATTGGTTCCGTCCCAATAGCGGAACCAATAAAAGCGTTGTTGCGGCCGGGACATTTAGGAGATGCACCATTAACTTTTTGTCTGGAAAATATGAGCAAATGTAAATGGCTCTGTTCGAAAACCTGGGCTGCATCCTCCAAGGACGCGGTCTACCTGGACTGGATCCTTCAAAGTTCTTA